TAAAGTCCAGCTGTATATTATGTTATGTGCAGTAGCAGAGCCAGAGGGGTGTCTGGGGTGGCACTTTACAGCCCTGAAAGTTGCTGATGCTGATTGACATTTCATTTATGGAAAAGAGTTAATTTTATGCAAGCAATTTTCAAATGTAGGACCACCCAGAAGACAAGATGAAAACGATTTAAAATTACATTAACTAAAAGTTCTGAACCTGCTTTAATGCATCAAGAAACAAAATAAAGTAATTCATAAATTAATAAAAGATAAATATAAAATATATATTCTGCATAGGCTACAGCCAAGCAGATGAACCCACAATATGCATGCAATTCACCCACACAGAAAAATAAATTTAAAGCTGTTAATTTATTTAGTTTTTATAACATTTTCAATTTTTGTCTAAAGACAAAAACAAAAGTAAATATTTGCAGTCTAGTAAGTTGATAGCTTTTATTAACAGCGGTGTTTTATGTAAAAAAGCACTGTGTGCTTCAATCACAAATAAACTTTTTTTCTCTCAAGCCTGATTTTTCAAGCCTCACAGGTGATTTGTTTTTTGATAATGTCTGTGGTATTTCATTTAATTTGGACCGTTTGCAATACACTTCCATCACTTGTCCTAGCATACATGCAGTAATCTTGCCACAACACAATCATTACACGAAGCACTCACATTTGTCAAACGAACTGGGATATGGGAGTTAAACAGGGCCAAGTACAGTTCAGATTTTGTCAGTCCTATTTTGAGTACACCCTTCGATTACATATTTGGTTGACCAATGGGTAGAAAGGGCCATTTCATGGCCTCCCACACGTAGTTAATTGAGTTCTAAATTTGATTGAAGCTAAAATCTTGATTTATTTATATATATTTTTTAGTTTTTATATTCTATTTTAAGTTGAAAACAGGATAACATGAGTTTTTTTCTGTATTTGGTGCCTATAGAATACGCAGAAAAAAAAAAATATTTTCTCACATTTCGTTTTTTAGACCAACTGGATAAATCCATTGATCGCATGATACACAAACCCATAATGTTAATTATGTTAATGTTAACAAATTGCTTGCCTGCTAATAGAATATTTTTACAAACTATAGCCATAAAAAAATTTACAGGGTTCAAAATTAACTTTTTTGCTTGGTATCACTGGTGCTCCTAACTTTAAAAATCTAGGAGCACCAGCCAACATTTTGCACTGTTACTACAAATTTTATAATAGCAGATTTATTGCATTTTGAAATCAACACCAATCAAAACTAACGAACGAGTTAAACCGAGTTAAAGAAAATAACTGTGCTGTTCTCACAGGTGGTGTCTGATATTGCAAAGATGATTTTGAGATATAACTTAATATTTGCATACGTCATCTTAAACATTCTTTGCATGAGCTCAAATATTAGTTTAATCTTAGTAAATGCAAGCCTTTTTGCAGTGGTGTACGTGTTGTTACCTTTTACATATAGCTGCCACTTGCACAGCTGATAACCTTGTGACGATTGAATAAAGGAATAAAACCTCTTGTGTTTAAAATGTGTAGATGCGACAAATGCGGCAAACCCAGTCCCACCGACTTTACAGTGAATGGCTTTACTAGTTTTCATAGTAAACTTGAAGCCACTGACTAGAGGTATTTTATTCACATTTCGAAAAGTGTAAATGAGGAATTAACATTGGTAACATGATCACTACTTAGATGTAACATTAATTGGATGGTTTCTAAAACAAAAATTGTCAGTGTTATTTTCATTCTTTTATCTTCAGCTTTTTACAGGGTAAGAATTGCAGGCTTTTTTTATTACAGAAAGTTGACATGACAACTGTTTTAAACCATTTCTTAGTGCTGCATGTTGTGTTTTTAGGTGCAAAGATGCATTGTGTGTTTGTCTCCTGAATCTGCGCATGCGGTGAACATTTTGCAGTGAAAACAGATGTCTCTGCAACAATTTTATGCACTCCCACAAATGCTCCCTAATATACTTTGAGGTTGCATAGATAAAATTTCGGTCGCAGATGCGACCAAAATGATCAAAATTTCGAACCCTGTTTTAGATTTATATAACTGATGCAAGCTGAAATTACGTCAGCAAGTTTAGCTGCATATTGCCGGTCTCAATTACAGAATTTAGTATTTAGCAAATATGAGGATGTGGGCAAGTTTACATTCAGTATTTAGTCTGAATTAGTTGTGTACAATGTACAATGATGTAATATAGTATGACATGATGACATATCTCTCTGGTTCTTTGGATTCTTTAAAATATTTTTTGTGCTGACTGACAGTAATTGATTTTTAAAATGTAATCTTTGCACTGTATGAGTAGGCTACATTGTGTTTGTGTGACCCCCAAAATAGCAGTGGCCACACCCTTGCCACACCATTAAGTTCTAGCTCTCCCACTGGTTATGTGCTACCTGGAAATACTGAAAATTTGTCTGATTAGTTAGTCAAAAAACAATAAACAAACAAGATGTTTGATGGTCAGTTAAATCATGTACTTACAAAGGCCAAAATGACAGGTGCTGTAACTTTTTCAGTGTGTTCCACAGCTGTTGACACAAGCAGTAGGGTGGGAGGGGGGGGGGGGGGGTGTGTGTGAAAGAAGTCAGTATGACTGTAAATTGTCTGTAGGAAATAAATTGCATTCAGTTCATCGTGAGGAACCTGTAATTATTCAGTATATTATGATACACTAGGCTGATATCCCTCCAGCACCAACTGCAACAATATATTTGGATATAAAAATTGCTAATCTGCACTTGCAAAACAAGTGAAACAATTTGGAATAGAATAAACACAAATTAAATAAGATAAATTAGATACATTTTAAGTGAAATTGACAAGCAAATAATTCCTGATATTCCATGACTTAGTTCAATTAAGACACATTTACACTGACTTGTAATGTGTTATTTCACTTTTGTTTAAACAAATTGAACCCAAGTTGAACTCAAAGCATGAGTGCTGCGTAATGTGTAAACAATAAATATTTATTTAGGAAAGCCTAGTTATCCATGATACTTAATATTACAATTTAAAAAATATGAGAGTAAATTTAGAAAATTTTACTACACCAAAAAGCCATTTCCTTCAAATGACCGCTAAAAGAGAGAATACATATTTTTATGGTTTAAATTCCTGAAGTTAAGTCTCTGAGTTACAATGCAACTAACGTCTAAATAATATGCCAAAGATTTAATATATATATATATATATATATATATATATATATATATATATATATATATATATATATATATATATATATATATACTATCAACAATGTTTTAAGATAGTATATTATAACGGTATATTTTATATATATATGTTTAGGTTTTGGTGCCTTGGCTGACTTTTGGATTAATACACTCTAAAACTGCTAGCAGATGGCAAATCCTTAATGCGTGATTCATTGACTAAATTTAAATGATTCAAAACAGCCAATTCTTTTAAAAAACGATACAAACGGCATTCATCATTACGAATAGATTATTGAATCATCGAATTAAATGACTGGTGCTTGTAGATTCGCACAATGGTTAACTGAAACAGGGCATTATTAAAACAGATGTTTTTAGTCATACCGTATCCCTCCCCCGTGTTTACCAAAGTCCTCTCGACCCGAATAGTTTTTGGATGCAGCTTTGATTATGCAAGCTGAATCTGCAATGTCACACACAATGCAGTCAACGGAGCTACTAGTGACGTCACTGTGAGGGGTTGGCTGGAAAGCGCTGCCCTTAGACCAAGTATTAGCACATACAGCGGATGAGACCAAGCGCTTTGAAATTTTCAAAAACTATATAACGTTATCGTACAATTTTCAGGCTAATGATGTAGTACAAAAGCCCGATTTAATCACTAGGTGTGGCTACAATATACTATTTTCATTTCATAGATATTTCCTCTCTTAATAATTGTGATATATAATAATATGAATAATAATAATGATGATGATGATAATAATAATAATAATAATAATAATAATAATAATAATAATTATTATTATTATTATTATTATTATTATTATTATTAATATATTTCTTGCCATTTTAAAAGCACTTTAAATTTACCTCAGAAAAGTCTCTTCTCCCCCGATCCCGTTTGTTTCACAGCAGATCTAGGACCAGTGTTTGTGTGAAAGGATCACATCCAGTATGCCCAAACTATTTTTTTGCGTACAAAATGATTAAAAAAGTAACTATATCATTCTTATATCACTTAACAAGTAATGTTAGCATGACAGATAAGTGTTTTAATAGCGAGTTTGCGCCATTGTCTCAACTGACGTCACACTAACGGCATTTATAACGGTTCACCGACGGACAGGACAAAATAGCGAAAAGTCATTCTGTATGAATAATACAAGTAGAACATTTACTAAAAACTCGACCTTACGACAGTTTAATTGGTTTCTATGTGAAACTGTTTTTTTTAATGTGGATAATTTATCCCTGAGAAAATCTATTAAGGCTAAAATTTATAGTAGCTGATTACAGGCTATATAGTACCTTAAAATAATCACACATTACTCCTTTCGACGTAGTTCTAAATATAATTTATATTTGTTGCATTTTATATTTTTTAAAAGTACTTTAACTTTACCTCAGGTAAGCGCAGTGCAGTTCTGTCGATCGATCTGAGTGGGCAGCAGTCGGTCTGTGTCTGACTGCGTTAGCAGAATACAGCTTATATAGCAGGCAGCTTTCGCGGGTTTTGAATGCAAATGCGATTTTTTTGTTTTGTGGCAGCATTTAAATTAATAACTTTTAAATTTTAATTATTATAACATGCTGATATGCTTTTGTTTTAAATGGGTAAGGTTTCTAATATCACAATATGAATTTACTTAGCAAATGACAATATAACACATGTGCTCCCTTTTAAAACGTTTTTTCTCTGCGGGGAAAATTAATCATAATTCCGTATACTCTCATTAAAATATATGCATAATAAAATAAAAATATTTAACAACAGACATATCATCCACTCCATAGATGGCGATGTTCAACCAGTCACCAATAGCCTAGACGAAGAAAACAGCGCACGAGTTTGTTTACATGTGGACTATACAGCAGTTTGGTTGCGGACTTGCAGTAAAGGTAATTAGATATTGTATTGGTTTGTCATAATGTGTGTTAAATAATGAAATACATTATTATTATTGATTTATTTATTTTTGACTAGCGTCACGTGGTCAGTTGATCAACGTGGTATGTTTACAGTTTAATATTCATTCTCGGGCCATTCTACTGATTCGGTGTCATTGTCTTTGCAACTCGTCCAAAGAAAACTTCATTTTACATTAAACTTCACAAAACAGAATTCAATAACACACTTATTTAACTGTTCGAAATGTGTACTGGTTTATTTCAATTAACTTTTACAATTATTTTTTATACAAAGTTTTTACTTGGAAGATGAATGCCGTTTTTTTCAGGCCTATTTTAAAAGCATGTGTAAAAATTAGTTTGTTAAAAAGAAATTATTGGTTTATATATATATATATATATATATATATATATATATATATATATATATATATATATATATATATATATATATATATATATATAATATATAAAGCTCTGATGAGATATATAGGTACTCTTCTAAAAGCACTGAATGGTCTTAGCACAGTTTCAGAGTGTTTGTTATCTTTTTATAGCATAGGCCAGTTTAAGGCAAAGCAACAATTCTTTTTTTATTTTTTATTATTATTATTTTGTTCTTCTGAGTTGTTTGTTATGAGGTGCCATGTTGAACTTATAGTGGCCAAACACCAAATTCAGCTATTTGGTGACACCCGAGACAGTGTGACACTAATGAGTCACATGAGACAGGGGAAGGAAAATAATTAATTGTTCTCAATTTGTACATTTTTACTTAGGAGTGTACATATTTTTGTTGCCTGGGGTTTAGCTATTATCAGTTATATTTTTATTTATTTTGAAGGATCAATACATTTACACTGCTATAAACTATTCCTTGTGTCAAAGAGTGATTTTTGAGGTGTTGTCCTATGAAAAGATATACATATTTGCAGAAATGTCAGGGGTAGACTCACTTTTGTGACATACTCTGTGTGTGTGTGTGTGTGTGTGTGTGTGTGTGTGTGTGTGTGTGTGTGTGTGTGTGTGTGTGTGTGTGTGTGTGTGTGTGTGTGTGTGTGTGTGTGTGTGTGATTATAAAGATGAAAAATCCCAAGTATTTCACAATCCAGCATTTCACAAAATTTTATTTCATGTGACTAATAAAAAGGGGATCTTAAACACATGTTGACCTCCTGAAAAGTGTGTTAATAATGTGTGTTAAAGAGTTTTTTAATGTCCTCAATACTTTGTTGGCCCTCCTTTTGCAGTAATTACAGCATCAAGGCTGTGTGGCATGGAGGCAATCAGTTACAGTTTGGTTTTCATTACCTGGATTATTGGACTTTTTGATATTTGTATAAAATAAGTTTACTTTGAAAATGAAGCAATATTAATATCCAACAGTCTTGCTATTCTAAAATAAAGTGTATATTAATTAAGCATATCAGAGAAGTTAAAGGGCCAATAAAGACTATGGTTTTGCATTTGTAAAAAAAAATGGTCAATTTGGTCGTTAATTTGTAATTGTAATTTTAGTAATATGTTTTTATATATCATACTAAAACATTTTTTTAAAGATAAAACTTTTGTTAAGAAAAGAATGATTCATTGTTTGTATTATTTTAATGTATAAGACTGTAAAAATCTTACCTGTTTCTTCATCTTTATTCCTAGTGATGCAATGGGAAATGAGACTCATCTTGTTCATCTTTCTCCTTGATGGCCTCACAAGTTTCATCCAAGAATTGCATTGTTTAGACATGACTTGAGTATTTATAATCTCCATCATTCCAAAATCATGTAAGACATCCCTGCAGTGCTGATACATTTTTTTAGGATGGATTTTGTGTACAATGAAGTAATTTAATTTAATCATTAATCTCCAGTTACTTTAGCTGTGTATATTTATATTTTTCATTTTTTTCTACATTATAATTATTTGCAGTGAACTTTTAAGTTATTTCAATTATTTTTGTCCTTTATACCTTAATGGATATATTTCTACAATGAGAATACATTTGCAGTACATGTTACAGGAAACATCTTATTAAAAAAGACAAAATATGCTTACAGTGTGATACAAGGATAGATGAAATAAATCACAGTAAAATAAAAAAAACTATCCGTTTTAATAAAATGTGTGTGTGTGTTAGAAATTGTATTCTAAAATGAGCATTTCTCTCAATCTACTATATTTTTCTGTTAAGTTATTTCACTTTAAGGGCAAAGTAAAAAAGTTAAAGTAAATTTACTGAACCTACACACAAGAGCCTATAAGAAAGATTGCTAATTCTTCTTAAAAAAAAGAAGATTACCAATGGCATTGAGTGTTTTGCATCTGTATTTTATATATATTTATATAAATGTAATGCAGATGCAAAACACTCAATGCCTTTAGTAATTATCTTCTTCTTTTTTTTTACTTGACTGCCTGTCAGTTTTAATGATTTTAGTGTACTAAACTGAGTTGATGAATACTGAGATTTATTTAAAGACTGAACTGCACTAAGTAAAATAGCAGTTTTCTGTATTTTGTGATTCATGATTTTATTTTTTTTCTTGTTTTTTATGCTTTTGAAATGCATTATGACATTGTTTTTTTCAACAACTTTTAACCTTGAAAAGTTTTATATAGTTTAAATGATTATTAGTGATTATTGGCTTGGTTAGTGTTGCATATAAGCTACGAAAACCTTTAAGAAACTAAATCTGTAATAAACTGCCAGTAAATTTTTTAAAATTATTTTACAGACTTATTTCTCTCTATATAATTTCAAAATGTCAGTAAAAGTCACTTTGTTAAACTGTAGAGTTAAATTTTCAACATTAAAAGTTTACAGACCAGAGATGCTATAATGCAATTCACAATAGAATAATAAATTACAATAAACAGAAAACCAACAAAAAAAACAAAACAAAAAAAAAACAGTTATTTTTTTACAGTGTGCAGCAGATATTGTTTCGGTAAAGCTGTTAAAACTCATTGCATTTTCACTGTTTGACTGTACACGTTGCTGTCTGTATTACCCAGTGCCATGGCTTCAGTTTTTCTCTTGTTCAGTGCTGTAAAAATGTCAAGAAACGAATATGATCATGCACATTTGGCTGACAAACATTAGGTGACATCAACTTTTTTAGTAACTCTGATTTTAGATTGTGTTTGACAAATGTACTAATTTAAGTAAATATGAAAAACATTTTTGCAAATTATGAAAAGCATAAATTAGTGAGTTTTCTGTTCCCATAGATACAGCCATTTCACATGATAGCATGCTTATACATTTACAAGCATGATTCTGTTTTCATTCGATCAATCTACCCAGGGTAACGCTTCTGATGAGCACAAAATAAATTATTTTGAAGAAAGCTAGGTACCTGTAACCATTGGCTCTATGGTCATATGCACCCGGCGCTATAAGATACATGGAGTGTATGGCGCGATTTGTTGTCGTTTTCAGGGAGCTGAACTGTCAGTAAAAATGTAGCGCGGTAATATACGCCCCTAATATGCGGGAACACATAGTTATTACACGCAGCATGTATCAATACACGAATATCTTTACATATGAAAAAATGTAGGATTGAAATGTTACAAAATAATAATTTCCTACGTAAATGAAAACCACTACTCCGTCCGTTTTAGGGGTTTGGAATCCATACTCTGTTGTACACTGAAAAAAATAGTTAATTGCAAATTATTGCAAACTATTTATATTAGCTTAATTTAAACAAACAAATTAAGTTGAACATCGCTAAATGCAATTTGTTTAAATTCAGCCCATATTAATTGTTTACCGTAAAAATAGTAAATCGAGTGAATATTATTAGTAGTAATATTTATTATACACATTTATATTTGTTTTAATAAAAACAAGTTTAGATGTGTCCATCTGTCGCGAGGCAATTAATAGATTTGTTATTTAAACAAGGTGGTGGAAAATGACAAAATTAAGGATGCATTGGTCTGAAAATAGCAACACGGCAGGGCAAACATGGTGTTAGGGCCTTAGACTTTGCGCCTAGAGCCCAAAGTCTCATCATTCACTATCCTGTTTCCTGTCAAAAACTAGGAAAGAATATATTTTGAAGAAAGCTGGAAATGACTTCCATTGTATTTGTTTTTTTTCCCACGTGGTTAGACATTTTCAGCTTTCTCCAGCATAGCTTCTTTTTTAAGCAGTTTATTGTTTACTTAATTGTCTATTACTAAGCATTTTAAATTTAAGGATAAGCATCAAATTAACTTTTTTTCAAGAGCAGATTTTTTTTTTTTATCTGGTAACAGCTAATCATTAATACATAAAAAACGTAAGACTGTTTTGAATTGTAAATTATAGTTAGACATTGCTTTTATTTTATGTTAGATTCCATGTGGGAAGATTGACTTTTCTTGCAAAATTATTTATTAGTAGTAGTAGTAGTGGTTATTTGTATTTATTATGCATATTCATATTTGTTTTCACCAAAACAAGTTTAGATTTGTCCACCTGTCAGGAGATGATCACCATATAGAAAAATAGAAAGTTGTCATGAATAAACTGAAAAAAGCCCCCGAGGTGAAGTAAGTATGGAGGCAGTGTTTTTTATATTTATGTAGAAAATAATATTTTTTATAATATTTTATTTCCCCTCCATTCGGTCTATACTTTCACTTTGTTTTGTTTTTTCTTGGATAAGGAAATGGTGGTGTGCACACAGACATCCATTAGCATACTAATTAATTTTGTTTGTTAAGGGCAAAGGCTTGTTTCTAAACTATTTCTTAATTCAGTACTAATTTCCAGCAAATGAATAAATGAGCAATAATAACGAAGTGTGGTCAAAAAACTGAATATATCCAAATACACATGCTGTGCCCCATATGGTCCAAAACCTGACAGGTAGACAAATCGAATTATTTATTTTAATTAAAATAAATATAAATATGCATATAATAATAATACTGCTAATAAAAATCACATATAGGACAATTTAAAAAATATTTAATCCTGATTTCAGTGTCATGTTAGCAAGTAGAATGTTTGGCTAAGAAATTGTAAAATTGTTACTGCAAATTCAGTTACAATTTAGTAATTACCCATAAGGAGTTTTCTTGATTTATTGTTATTTTCACACATTACTAAATTTATCCATATTGCAAGTTTACAAACAATATAAAAAACCTTTTTATTCCTTAAATTAACACATTTAGGCCCTATCATACACCCGCGCAGTGTGGCGCAAGATGCGGCACAGTAGTCTTTTGCTAGTTTCAGCTTGCCGCAAGAGTCCTTTTGAGGCGTTGCGCTATGCTGTTTAAAAAGCAAATGCATTAGCGCTCATTTGTGCGCCCATAGGCGTTCTGGTCTAAAAAGGAAGGCGTTCTGAGGCGGACCACTGGCACTATTTTAAGAAACTATAACAGATTTTTCATTAGACCAAACCTGGTCTAAACTCCGGTGCAGAGTTGCGCCTCGCTTACGCACTGCTTAATAAGCACAAGAGAGCAATAGGCAAATATCTTTACATATGAAAAAAAAAATAATATTAAGGATATTTATATAGGATATAATAAGAATAGATATAGGATATAAATATAAAGGATTAAAATATTGCAAAACATTATTTTACATAAATATGAAAAACCACTGCTTTTATGTCTTCTTCATCTCGGGAGGCTTTTTAAGTTCATTCATAACAATTTGCTTTTGTATAATGTTGTTATTATTATTAACAGTATTATTTATTATATGCATATTTATATTTGTTTTATTAAAAACAAGCTTAGATTTGCCCACCTGTCAGGTTTTAGACCATATGGGGCATGCAGGTGTATTTGGAAAGTACTCAGTATTTTGACCACACTTGGTCATTATTGTTCATTTATTCGTTTGCTAGTAATTAGAACTGAATTTAGAAATAGTTTTGAAACAAATCTTTGCGCTTAACAAACGAAATTAATTATTTATAGGTTAAATGATGTCTGTGCGTAAAGGTTTCCCTATCCAAGAGCGAAAGTGAAAGTAGATCATTTATATTTCATTTTCTGTTAAAAAACTGTTAACTGTTAACTTTTTGATTGTGAAATGCTAATTCCACTTAGACTTACTTTGCATCCTGTAAATAGCGAATGCGCTCTTGGCGCGACGCAGCTGGGTCTTAAAGGGAATGGGAGATGAGACTCAAATTGGGTTATTCTCAAAACACACCTATAACTCATTAAGAAAATAAACTCAACCCTTTTAGCCCATGCCCAATTAGCAAAAATGCGTTCTGACACGCCCTGAAAGCGTTTGCGCCCTGCGTTTTGCGCTCTGCGCATGGACCGTCAAAATAGAGCCCTTAATCATTTATGATTGGCAAAAGCTGAATTATAAAACTAAATATGCTTTCAATAAGATACTGGAAACAATTGCTGCTTTAAAGAGCTTTAATTCTAATTGGATGTCATTTTAAATGTCAAACATACATGCGATAGAATCCCACATGCTTTTAATGCATATAATAATGTTTACAATAATTGTAACTAGTTTTTCACAATGCTGGAATTTTAAACTTTTAAAAAATGAGACCTTCAATAAATATCAACATTCGACGATACCATTTTCTATATTTTGTGAAAAAAAAAAAACTTATTGTTATTATTATGTATTATTTATTGCACCAGAGCCAATGTGGACATCAATATTTTTGTATAATATGATCAAATTTTTTAATAGCACATATTTGCATATTATCCTACTTGTTGGTGGTAGAAAAATACATGATCATTTATAGCCTATTAAAAACATTGTTCAGAGTTTAATTCGCAATTAACGGGTTTTAATCGACATACATGGCGTTTAGCATTATGATAGCGCTCTGTGTATGTGTGCATCGACCTGCTTTCTAAAACATGTTGTATTCAGAAATATTTATTCAAAATTCATTATTGAATTCTAAATTTTCAATTTTGCATTGCACTGCCACTAACATTGAACAGTTTAAAGCATCTAGTAGCTATGTTTTTGACGTTTTTTTCCCTTGTCAGCTGAAGAGATCAAATATGATAATTTGGGATATTATATTTAATAGGTAAAGGGACAACACGTCAATCAAAAGCACTTTACACGGCTTTCGAGTCATATTTCGAGTCAGTTTTACTGACCTCTTGATATTGTTTACAAAGGTCAGGGACACGCAGCAACGCGAGTAAGAGAAGGGATCAAAGCAAAGCAAGGCGATACTTTATTACCTTATTCGGGATTGTAAATGAGCCTAGCTTGCCAAAACCATGTTTTTAAAAACACGGTCACGTAGCTTTCTATGTAACGCATCAAAAAAAATTATTGTCTGGTGAGTGGGCCATGCATCTGGAAAAGCCCCTCGAGGTAAGAAGGAATTAAGTTAGTTGTTTTTATATTTATGTAGAAATTAAAAGTTTTAAAATAATTTAATCCTTTAATTCATTTGTAAAAATATATGTAGCCTATTAATGACCATCCTGTTTAACCTATTGTTACAGCAAATAGGATTATAATTTATGATTTATTAATAACAAGATGAATAAATTAAATCATAAAAGAAAATGGCATTATAAAGTGTATTACGATTTCGTTTTTTCTACCCTATTTTATTTAATCTATTTTTTTACGTTGATGGACTTTAAATCTTAATTTACATTATTTGTTACAATATTTTGCTTGATTAATAAATCGACTTATATGAAAAGTATTTGCATCAGTGCATGAAGTAGAAGGAAACATACTGAAGGAGTTAACAGCAGTAACGTCGTAATTTGTTTGGCATTATTTGAATGTAATGGCACTTAACTGCTATCTTTATAAATATAATTTGCATTCTATATTGGACTGGAAAGAATGCAATAGATGTAAAACATTTTGTGAGGAACTTATGTAATTCTTTATGACCATGTTCAAGTCTTATACTGGGCTAAATGTGGACCAAATCCAAATCCGACGGGTAAAACAACCACGTCGATATTTGGTCTATGTTTAGACCAAATCCGACGGACAAAACAAAGACCACGTCGATATTTGGTCTAAGTTTGGACCAAATCCGACGGGCAAAACAACCACGTCGATATTTGGTCTATATTTGGACCAAATCCGACGGACAAAACAAAGACCACGTCGATATTTGGTCTATGTTTATACCAAATCCAACGGGCAAAACAACCACGTCGATATTTGGTCTATATTTGGACCAAATCCGACGGGCAAAACAAAGACCACGTCGATATTTGGTCTATGTTTGGACCAAATACGACGGGCAAAACAACCACGTCGATATTTGGTCTTTGTTTAGACCAAATCCGACGGACAAAACAAAGACCACGTCGATATTTGGTCTATGTTTAGACCAAATCCGACGGACCAAATACAGACCAATTTTCGACGTCGAAATTTGGGCTAAATAAAGTCTATGACGGGCCGACTTGATTTAGCCCAAAAAACGACGTCGAAATGACGTCTCGTGCTGGGTGGGATATATTTTGCATTCTACATTGGACTGGAAAAAAGCAATAGATGTAAAACATTTTGTAAGGAACTTATGTAATTCTTTTTAACCATATGTTCAAGTCTGATATTGGGCTAAATGTGGACCAAATCTGACGGGCAAAACAACCACGTCGATATTTGGTCTATGTTTAGACCAAATCTGACGGACAAAACAAAGACCACGTCGATATTTGGTCTATGTTTGGACCAAATTCGAGGGGCAAAACAACCACGTCGATATTTGGTCTATATTTGGACCAAATCCGACGGACGAAACAAAGACCACGTCGATATTTGGTCTAAGTTTGGACCAAATCCGACGGGCAAAACAACCACGTCGATATTTGGTCTATATTTGGACCAAATCCGACGGACAAAACAAAGACCACGTCGATATTTGGTCTATGTTTATACGAAATCCAACGGGCAAAACAACCACATCGATATTTGGTCTATGTTTGGACCAAATCCGACGGGCAAAACAAAGACCACGTCGATATTTGGTCTATGTTTGGACCAAATCCGACGGGCAAAACAACCACGTCGATATTTGGTCTTTGTTTAGACCAAATCCGACGGACAAAACAAAGACCACGTCGATATTTGGTCTATGTTTAGACCAAATCCGACGGACCAAATACAGACCAATTTTCGACGTCGAAATTTGGGCTAAATAAAGTCTATGACGGGCCGACTTGATTTAGCCCAAAAAACGACGTCGAAATGACGTCTCGTGCTGGGTGGGGTAGTTACGTTACTAGTTTTAATCAGCTCATTCTTGTTTTTTTTGTTCATTGTTTTATTCATTTTAAACCGAACATTTTTATTGTTTTGTTCATTTTAAACAGGATAAAGTGTCCAAACACAGAGAAAAACTCCTGAAGCGACTGATCTCCACACTGTTATAAAGATGGCGTTTATTAAAGAGGAGAGTGAAGATGTGAAGATTGAAGAAACATTCACAGTCAAACAGGAAGATCTGCAGGAACAAACAGGTTGGTTTTCATTCTCAAAGACCAACTCAGTCATTTGATCCTCATTCAGATATATTTTAATAATAAGAATACTAAATTAAATCCATCTTGCAGCCCTGAGTGTGCTGCCTAGTTCTCCTAAATGCACATAAGCACTCATTGAAAGACAGGAATCAGTTTCTTTCTTGTTACTTGTTCTTGGTGTTTTGTCGCTATTTTTTGTATTATTAGTCTCCCATTTCTCTACTTCTTAAGGTTTTTGCTTTTCTCGTTCTTCTACTGTTTGTAAATCGTTTCTGAGCAAAGGCGCTATATAAAAAAAGTTTAACTGAGCTGATGATATTTGACCTACAGTATTCTCATAGAAGATATCTGCTATTACAGAGATAGTGTTGGCTTAGTACTTTCCATTTGCATATGTCACAATCATAATTCCGACTTCTTTATGGCTTTAAACTTGTTTCTAGTAGTTGTTACTAGTTCTCACAGATAGTATCTAGAATTAAATCATTATTTTAATAACTAATTACCAGGGCTATTGTGTTTAAACAGAGTTTCTGCGGAGTCTTAAAATGTCTTGAATTCCAAAATCCAAATTTCAGGCCTTAAAAAGTCTTAAATTTACTGAAATATTTTGCTGTAGGTCTTAAATCTTTTATAGACAAGTCTTCATTTTCCTTTGTTCATGTTTTGTTACCCAATCTGGTCAAAACCCATACAATCACCAACAATCCATCTTCATAAAGCTTTCAACTTTTTATTCAAAAAGGTCATTTTAACTCTATTTATTATAATGCTTTAATCATTTTCCTTACAATAACATTTAAACGTGCTCCATGTATTCACTGCTGAGGACATCGACCTGGACAGATTGTTGTGCATAAATTTATTTTATTATAGTTTTTAAAACTTTAAAAGCATTTGTTAATTGTTTTATTTTATTTTAAATAAAGTTTATGTTGGAAAAAAGTGTGTGGATACAAATAAAGCTTGCTTATTTTTACACAATAATTAAAATCTTTTGCTAAGAAATATTTAAAATATTTAAATTTTCTATCTGGGCCATCTGAAAAATTCTTTGGCCTTTAGACCTTTATGAGTCTAAAATTTCATTCATATTGAAATTGTACTTAAAAGTCCTAAATTTAACTTGGTGACACCTGCAGAAACTCTGGTTTAAAGTATGTCAGAAAACGCGGATGCCCCCAATTTGAAATATGCTAAATGAAATGGACACTAAAATAATTAATGATTATAAAACATTGTCCAGTATTCTAAACTATATGATGTTGTTATGGGACAACGTGAGACAAAATGAACAAATTTTAGTGGACTACAACTGGCCAACAAACTAGTCTAAAAATGACTTTTGATGCGTAAGAAATGGATTACAGCATGCTGATGATATGCAAACATCCGAGTGTAACGTTCGTCAGTATTGACCACATTCTTCCACGTCATTGGAATCTTTTTGCTTGAGATTTTTTAAAGGATGAATTTTTAGATCCTAAAAAAGCTGTTTCTCAATATGCGTTCTTCAACCAGGTGAAAAAAATATAATTAAATGCAATTAAAATACACTTAAATACCCGCAAATACATTTTTAGTACATTGTTATTTTTTGTGTTAAATAAAAGTTTGATGGTTTTACACTATAAATATACTAATTAAAAGTGTTTATACTTCAGTAGGACTTTAGTACACTTGACAAAAGTATATTAAATACCAGTAATACCTGAATAAATTTTTAGTGTACTACAATAAAGTACACTACAGAAAAAACATCCTAAAGAGTTATATTAGTGTGTTTTTCAAAAGTGTGCTTTAAATGCTTTAAACATTTTTAGTTTTTAGATTTTTAGTACACTGTTTACATACTTATCCTTAATTTAAAATAAGTTAATATATAAAAAGTCTATTAGTAATGTATTGTAGTAGAAGTACATTTTCCCCAAAAAAGTCTATACAAAATGTAGTATTTATACTAATAGTACAGCTACACAAAGCCTATTGCTTTACCACATGTTTGAGAATAACAATAATAATAGTCCATGCACTCATAACTTTTATTTTACATCTGCAGAATCGTGAGAAAATCGTGATCTTAATTTTAGGCAAAAAAAATCACGATTCTCATTTTAGCCATAGCATATAATTAGAATAATTGTCTTCTCCTGCAGTTCAGCTATAAACAGTGGAATATTCCCATCAGGCTCCAGTAAAGAGTTTATTGAAGGACAGCAAAAACATGAGTGATCCAGAACTCTGCAAAATTAAAAATGAAGACTCTGAACAACAAATAGGTTGGTGTTTATACCTGATCAGGAGTGGCACGGGAGGTTGTTGGGCTTCAGCTCTGATTGTTTGTTCCAAAGCTATGAACCCTTTGGGTTTAAGTTTTGTCAAAACATAGTTTTTCAACATATTATTCAGAAATATTTTAACCGGTTCATTATTGCCTTCCCACAGGATCAAAAAGCAATATCAGCTGTGCTTTCTAAACCTCTATACATTATTTAAGAGTTTTTTTTTGTTTTTATCAGAGGCAGCCCCACAGCAGTAAGTGCTTTCTGTCTCTCTTTTCTGAAAGCGAGTTTACACACACCATCGTCCTGCATAGCCACGCCTCCTGACAGTCACTCAATGCATTCGTCTCATCGCTGCACCACAATTGTACTTCATGTTTGTTACCTGCTTTAATTTCGTATTAAAGTAAGCTTGTTGGAAATTCTGAGGAGAATGTCAGGTTGCTATTGTAACTACACACGCAAGAGAGTCAGGCACTCTTGTCTTGCTTCATTTAAGATTTACCTCAGTCAAAAGACTGTCAGTTCCGTATGATCTGACGAGATGCTACACGCACAGGCTGTTCTGATTAGCTGTAAGTTTTGATTGGTTCATTCAGGTGTATTTATGTGAAAGTGAAGTCTGACAACAATAAATATTCTTATCAGGAATAAAACCACCTGTTTTTATACCCGTGCTGACTTTGTCGAGCTGTCGCTATGAAGTTAGTTCTGCTACTGTTATTTTACATAATTTGCTGAAAATGATGCCTTAAATGAGCAGGATTTTGAGGGTAATTTAATCCAAATGATTACAGCCATAACTATAAAAAAACATAACTTGTAATAAAACGGGCAGGGATTAGATGCTAAGAATCCCATACTTGTTATATAATTTAAATTTTGATTCCTCTTGTCCAATTTCGGCATGCACATTTTTTTCTTCTGCTACTCTGCCAGGAACTTTGTCGCTGGAGAGCACCTTCAATAATAATCAAGACATTTGTTTAGAGATGGAGCGCAAGATGTGCTCAAAAGAGTGGCTACATGTGGTGAAAAATGATGGCAAAGCTAAGTGTGTTTATTGTAATAAACTAGTCGCGTGTCCAACATGACAAAGCATCTGCGGTTGGTTCACATACTTCACGAATATTGAATTAAAAGAATGATGTGTTCGGTTCATTGTGGTTCCCGCAGGTGCAACTAACAACAGTTGTGCATTTTAGTTAAACTTTTTGAGAGAGATTTGACGCTCAGCTGAAACACGCAGGTGAGACTGCTTTACAATCTGTCATTCATAATATTAGCTGTTGTATTGGAGTCGAAATATGAAGTAGAATGTGCTTTTAACAGTCCCGATATGTTTAATCTTTTTCTTTTGCAAATTTGATTTTAAATTCAGCTTTATTCTTTTATAATGGCACATATGCTGAAAAATCTAGTTTTTAAGCTGTTTGGACAGACGTGTGTAGGTATGGTGCATAGACTGTCATATTCGGGTGATATAAACTCACCCAGTCCTTTTTTTTTTTTTCAATTTAACAACATAAAAACAGTGGACCAATAGGAGCAGTTTTTCAGACCGACCGAACTTGACAACTTGACATTTGACAGCTGCATATTAACATGTCATGCTAGTCACGTGTACAATCAAATCAACAAGACAGGACGAGAGCAAAGCAACCTGGAATAAAACGTCTGTTCAGTTTGCTAGGATCATCAATCATCATAAAATGTGATCAAGAAGAGTGATTTTTACAAGTTTAAAATGTTTTAAAACAGTGCATGTGTGTAATGAATAACAGTGATTTACTTCAGCTTTACTTTATCACCACAGCCGCATGTCAGAACAGTTATGTTAAGTCTGTCTGTTGTGGCGCAGCCGAGGGAGGAGATTAAAGGTGCAGTAGGTGATCTGCCAAAATGCTAACCGCTTAGCATATTACCTTTGGACGACGGGGAGGGACTGCGATTCAAAGACACACCCCCTGAAATCGCGAGCGCGCACCGCATCACAACAGCAGACAGACAACCCACTAGTTCAGGTCATTCGCCAGTTAGTTAGTGCCAGCGCCGTAAAGGAATTACATTTATTACTTTGCCACACTTACATGCTATTTCAGAGTGAATATTCAGAGTAACATGGTAAACAGTATAGGGAGGCTGTCATTGTTCATAAATGACCCAATGTGAATATAAAAGAAACTTCAGCTCAATAAAGCAGGCAAGGCGGAATAACGCTATTTACTGATGTTTTGTTGTTAAGCTAAATATAAATTTACATTATAGATGCTGTCGAAGGACCTTATGAAACTGAAAATAATCACATCAATCTTTCACCGGTAGATTTTAGTGGCTGAACATCACGTCTGTGCATATAAGTCATTCATAACAGAACACGCTTAGCTAACACAAGCATAACATAAGCTGACTAAAATAGTTTAAAAACAGAACATTACCTGTCTAACAGTAATACTTAAGCCGCTTTAAGGGCGAATTATACTTGCGCCTGGCTTTACAGTAATCGGCCCGAGCTCGGCTGTCCTTCGGCGGCTCCGACTCGGCATCGGCCCGCAGCTCACTCGTGCGTGCGCATGCGTTTGTGATGCAAACGGGCACGCGCTAATGGCGGATCTGTGTGAACAGATGCGCA